AATTTCAAACTGAGACTTACGGATTCTTTTCTAGTTCCGGCGTCCCGTTTAGAGCTGCGGTAATATCGGCAAGCAATTCCGGCTTCAAATAAGCATTGACTCTCGCACCAATCCGATAATAATCACGGACAAAAAGTCGAGGAGGCAGTTCTGGGTCGCAGACATCAGAGTCTGCAGGTTTCAGAGGCCTTATTTGACGCGGGAGGACTTTCTTTGGACAAATAAAACGATGTCAGAATCAGATATTAGGGCTACATAAACATGCTATAAAGCGTACACGAATACGGTTTAGGTTTACCTTGCAACCGGATAAACTCTTCATCGTCGGCTATGACGATGCGAAACAGTAAACCCTAGATCTCCAAAATTTTCGAGAAGCAGAAGAAGCAGAGAGACGATTGGGGTTTTCAGGTTTCGTTTAGGAACTAAACGCGGGCAAGGTCATGCACATTGGATTTAATCGCGGGCAAGAACAAAACGGGAGAAAAACTTTGGGAAGTGTTAAGCCTACAAAGGCCCGACAATAAGTGTTATAAACACAGGCCATTGTGGGATAAAGTGTTATATGATACAAGTTTTTCTTTATTTTAATCAAATTTTACTCTTACCAGAAAAAGGAGATGAGTTTCAGGGAGCTGAACAACTACATTTAATTTGAAACGTCGAAAGACATAGTAGAAGACTTGAGGGTAATAATTATATAATCATTTATTGATGACGAGCACTTCAAATAACTACGACAAACAAGACGAATTCTATCGCTTATTTTTCTTACATCAGTTATAATTGATGCAAACAAAATTTACCTCATTTATAAAAATAAAAATGATGATATAAATATTTTAAATCAGTTCAACAATTGTTGTATATATTTTTATCAATTATGATATACGGTGTTAATATGTAACAATTGTAAAAAATGTTAAATTTGGATTAATTAATATAAATGATGTTAGTATTTGCTACTCCCTCTGTTTCATATTAGTTGTCATTCTATACTTAATTTTTTGTTTCATATTACTTGTCATTCTGCAATTTCAGTGCACATTTATGACTAATTTTTTAGGGGCAATTACAAAAATACCACTTTTTGTGTGCACATTTGCAAGAATGCCACTTAGGGTGTCTATTTACAAAAATGCAACTAATTATAGATTTATGAAGCCTATATCTTAAAATTCTAAACTCTAAAAAATATTTTAACACCTAAAACCCCCTAAACACTCAAAACTAAATCCTAATAGAACATAATTAACCCAAACATAAATAATATAAAGAAAAAATAATTTTGAAAAAGTGGCATTTTTGTGTGCACATTTGCAAGAATGCCACTTAGGGGTGTCTATTTACAAAAATGCCACTAATTATAGATTTATGAAGCCTATATCTTAAAATTCTAAACTCTAAAAAATATTTTAACACCTAAAACCCCCTAAACACTCAAAACTAAATCCTAATAGAACATAATTAACCCAAACATAAATAATATAAAGAAAAAATAATTTTGAAAAAGTGGCATTTTTGTAAAGATTTCAAAAGTGTGGCATTTTTGTAAAGTGGCACTTGAAAAGTGACATTTTTTGAAATTTCTCATTTTTTATTTTTATCCCTATTTTTAAATTTATTTACTACACATTATTGATATTGTTTTTACTACACATTATTTTTATTTACTACACATTATTTATTTACTACACATTATTTTTAAATTTATTTACTACAAATTTATTTTTATCCCTATCATTAATTAGGAT